CTGGCTCCTACCCTAGGGGTCTTTAAGAGGAGGCTAGATGTACAACTTGCTGGGGTTGTTTGACCCCAGTACTCTTTCCGGCCATGGCAGGGGGTTGGACTCAATGATCTGTTCAGGTCTCTTCCGACCCTAGAAACTATGAAACTATGAAACTAAACTATCATATTGGGCTGAATTAGGAGCGTTGTCAGCAGATCGAGGGAAATGATTATTCCCCTCTATTCAGCACTGGTGAGGCTACATATGGAGTACTATGTCCAGTTTTGGGCCCCCCACTACAGAATGCATGTGAACAAACTGGAAAAAGTCCAGCAGAGGGCAAAAAAAATGGTTAGGAGGCTGAGGCACATGCCTTCTGATGAGGGAAAGGGGTTTATTTAATCTGGAGAGGAGAAGACTGAGGGGGGATTTTAATAGCAACCATCAACTACTTGAAGGGGGGTTCCAAAGAGGATGGAGCTAGACTGTTCTCACTGGTGGCTGATAACAGAACAAGGAACAATGGTTTCAAGTTGCAGCAAGGGAGGTTTAGGCTGGTTATTAGGAAAAACCTTCTCACTAGGAGGGTAGCGAAGCACTGGAACAGGCTGTCTAGAAAGACTGTAGAGTCTCCATCTTTGGAGGTTGTTAAGACTCGGCTAGACAAAACCTTGGCTGACATGCTCTAGTTAGGGATGGCCCTGCTTTGAGCAGGGTGGTGGACTAGATGTATTTCTGAGGTCCCTTCCAACCCTAATTTTCTATGATTCTATGACCCTTTCTCCCTAATTCATAATGACAGTTGACCCATAACACATCTCCAAACTGTAAGTATCAGTTAGTGAGGTCCTGCTCTGCATTTTGCTTGACAAATTCAGTGAATCTCATCATTTTTTCTAACTATATTAGAGATAGAGGGAGGAAACAGGTAAATTCTACATAAGAATAGATGGCCATGCTGTTAACTTAAAGACTATAAACGTATGCATGACTGTACATGCAAGCTGCCGTGTATAAGTTAAGTCACCTCTCCAGAGTTAAACTTCTATGCCTGGAAGCTGTACCATCAAGGATGTTATATTTTTCTAGGTGTGCAGGGTCCTAAATGGAAAGTAGAGTGCATGGCATTACAAGCCTGCTAACTAGCTTGGAGGCAATATAACTGGCTGCCGCTCAGCTCACACAAACTGCTATGAGCACATGGTTACACTGCTTCCAGCTAAGGAGGCAGACTGCCTGGAACAGCAGTGTTCTTGATGCAGTGCTGCCAGGCATGGCAAGTTTATCCCATGAACATGATTACAGGATCATAGGAAACTGGGGCTGAAAGGGACCATACAATCTCTTCCAGTATAGCTCCCTGCTCCAAGCAGGAACGTCCCTGACTAAACAATCCCAACCAAGTGTCTGTCTAACCTGTGAGATTTCACAACTTCTCCAAGTAGCCTGTTCCAGTGCTTGACAACCCTCATAGTCAGCAAGTTCCTTCAAATTTCCAACCTAAATTTATGCTACTGCAGCTTGAGGCCATTGCTCCTGGTCCTGTCTCCTAGAGGCACAGAGAAAAGCCCATCTGCAGCTCTCTAGAATTGCTCTTCAGGTATACAAAGACTGTTATAAAATCTCCCATCAGTCTTACCTTCTCTAGACTAAATTACCCTAGTTGTTTCAGCCTTTCTTTATAAGTCTTGTCTCTCAGGCTCCTGATCTAAACTGTCCACATTTTCCTTGAAGTGTGGGACCTGAAACTGGATACAGTATTCCAAGTGAGGCCTCACCAGTGCTGAATAGAGTAGAAGAGTCACCTCCCTTGATTTGCAAGTGATACTTCTGTTAATACAACCCAATATGCTGTTGGCTTTTTTGGCAACAAGAGCACACTGATGGCTCATATTCAACTTATGGTACATCATAACTCCTAGGTTCTTTGTTGTACTACAGCCTAGCCAGTTATTCTCCAGCCTGTGCATGAAATTATTCTGTCCCACGTGAAATATTTTGCACTTGTCCTTTTTAAATAATATCTGATTGATTTTAGATATGAATATGGTGCCCTGTTTAACAGAACTAAATAATTTACAGAGGAAAAAGAATATTCTTGTTTACTTGAACTCTTGTATTCTTCACTTTTTTTTTACTAGGACTCCTTTTCTATACCAGGATACCCTTCCTCTAAAAGTCTAACTGAGCCTCGCTTCACATTTAGTAACATGGGAAAGGCAGCGTGATTGTGACCCCCAACAGCTGCTCATGGTCCACAGCTTGACAGCTCCTCACTTATTATTTTGTATTAACTGTTTTGTATGAACAATTAATCATTGCAAATACATGGGATTATCTATAGAAATCTGCTACCAACCTGCTTGGCCGGGTGAGAGATGCTCCCACACCAGAGTCTCTCCTATCCCTGACACCAGTAGCTTCTGACTCATTGAGGGAAGTTCCATCTCTATCCATGTCACTTGGTGTAGTCCGACCATCAGAAACAGAGTTTCCTTCAAAGTCCAGTGTGATCTGGGTGGTTGACTGGAATGGTAATGATGTAGATTCCCCAACAGACAAATCATTATTTGACATATCTGGCAGTACATTTTTTGACCAATGGTCAACAACCTCTTGAAGTCCATTGACATGCTGCAAAATGTCATCTAAATGAGGGAAAAGCTCATCTTTTTCCAAGTCCAAAAGGTCTCCAGTGCTGGCATACAAATGGGAACCTGGCACATTGTCATAAATACTAACTCTGCTCTCCTTAGGACAGCAAGTTATCAATCCGACCTCTCTAGGAGTAGAGCACTTCTGTTTGCCCAGAGAGATGCTGCCTGTTCTCCAGTTAACATTGTTACCATTGTCTGTAGGTGAGAGACTTTCAATAGAAAGTGCCTTTGGAAAAGTTCCAGGTTTATGGTCTTTGGGAATATGTACAACCAAATCCTCTTGGGAGTGAAATTCATTTTTATGATTTTGGTCTACTACTTGTTTCAGGGTTGCTCCTGAAAGGACATCCAAGTCCTCCAGATACATACCACTTCTCTTGTTTGTTTCCTGACATTTGCGTTCCTTTAAACATGGTGTACTTACTCCACTACTGCTGTTTTCTGACTGACTACTGTCATTGCTGGATTTGCCAGAGAAGGAAAGTCCTTTTTTGACTGTCTCCTGTGCTAAATTTTGGAGATCTCCATTTACTATCTCTACACAGTGCAAGTCCTTCAAGGATTTTGGCTCATACTGAAGAACAGGTCCACTTATATCTAAAACAACAGTTTTTCCTGAGCCTCTTAATTTTCCATGTGTTCCTTTAGCTTTTAATGTCTCCATACGCTTTAGAAAGGTTTTGGCTCTGGTTCGTGTTGGTTTTTCATTCTTAATGTTCAAGGAGTATTTTATGATGTCTTTTGGATCCTGGGTACTAATGACTGAAGAGGAGTCATGCATATGTGTGCTTTCTACCTCCTGCTCTCCTGAGCTGTCATGTACCTCCCTGATAGTGCTGCTGATGCCAGATGGACTCCTGTTGTCACTTCCCCCACTGCTCTCGCTGTGAATAGATGAGACGTCAGGCTCACTCAGGTCTGTTAGCACACTTTCACTGCTTGTGGTGTTTTTCATTTTAATGTCCCCTGAAGATCCATGTCTACCTGACCGGTGAAGCAAGGTGTCAATATCATCCACCCGAGACCATCTTCTGCTGGTTCTTTGGAAAGTCCATTTATTACTGATAGCACAGAGGTCTTCCTCATCTGAATCTTCACTCTGCAAAATAGCATATTACACTTTGTTAGAGGCAGAACTTCTCTTTTCTTTTATTCTTTTCTGATTATGTATTCATTTACTTACTTAATTATTCAATTTATATGCCACCCTTCCCTACAAAAGCTCAAGGCAACTTATAGCAAGAAAACAGAGTAACTTAAAAATAAGGGAGTGACTAGAGGATCAAAACAGTTTAAAAAGGAACTAGAACATCAAGATAAAACAGAGAACTTGCTGAACAGCATCTCAATCTAGTTTATATTGATGAATGCCTGACCAAAGAGGAAGTCCTTACTGTGCTACCAAAAAATGACCAGGCTTGAGCTCTAGTGAGCCTCAGGAGGAAGAGACTTCCAGTGAATATCCTTTTATTCCAGTCTTTTTCATTTCACAAGAAATTCTCAGAAATTAATATACTATCAAACAATAAATAAAGCTTTGAACTTGCATTATAGAACTCCTGGGCAAATCGCTGTATCCAGCTAGAGTCTACTGACTTCAATGGGGCAGTCTGCCTGCCCCCTACACAAGAAAGGAATGAAGCATAATAAAGTGATTTCTGATTTCTGAAGATGGAAATACTAGTTAGTATCCATTAGGTGTGTCTACATGTGCAATTAATGTGGACCAATGAACTCTGGAGTTTTTTTGCTCTCAGGCACACCATTTGAATGCGTGTCCAGGAGCAAAAAAACACCAGAGTAAGCTGCTCCGGGGTTGATTCATGTGTACCACCTTGAGCCTGGTCGGAGCAGTTCAGGCTAGCAGGGGACCCAGGGGATCAGTCTGCCAGCCCAGGGTTGCTCCAGCCAGGCTCTGTGTGCTGCAAAGGCGCTGGCCTCAGGGTGCCTCAGTGTAGGGGCTCTGCAGCATGTGGAGACAGGGGAGCAGCCTTGGGCTGGCTGATCCCCTGTTTCCACATGCTGGGAGCAGCTGACTGGGGCACAGGGTGCCTCAGCACAGGGACTGGATGCTGGCTAGCCCTGCTCTGAGACACCCTGCTCCAGCCAGCTAGAGCAATGTCTACATACGCATTGTTGTGCACAAAAAAACTCTGCAGCAGAGTAGTGCTTGTATTTTACAAGACTATCCTGTTGTGGAGCTTATTAGTTTCATGCGCCCTAAAGGGGTGTATGTGCAGATGCCGAGACATTTACTGCACAGGTAATTGGTCTGTTGTGCAGTAAATGTGTTATGTGGACACGCCCAATATTACAGACTTTCCAGGGGTGGGGTGAAGGTTAAAGACTGTGAAGTGCTTCATTGCTACAGCAGTTAGGCCTATATAACTGCCTATATAACTGCAATAGGCCTATATGACTCTAATAAAACCTAGCAAACCATCTATGTTAACGTCTAACAAGATTCAATTTTCAGTTAAACTTACTTGTTTGAATATACAGTATATACATAGATATATATCCACAATTACTAAAATAACTGTCAAAATAATACTTAGAAATAAAAAATGCCAGCACCATAAACTAATCCACAGAACTGTAAACATGTAAAATAAAATAAAAATCTGCAAAGCTCAATCTGGCCTTTTTCTAATCTGTTTCCTCAAACAAAAATGACATACTTTTTGCAGGGACCAGGAAGTCCTTTCTGTTTGGCTCACTTCTCAGTAAGCAGCTGATCCAGACCCTGTTGATGCTAATGAGAATCCTTGCATCAGTTTGGTGCCAGGTCCATACTCAGCTATTGTTGCACATTTGATTTAACGTAGATCAAACTAAGTTCACCTAGCTGACATCCAAAGAGCCTTTCTCATTCCTGAATGCAGCAGTATAGCAGTAAAATTTGACAGACTGTCAAACTAAAGCAAGGTACTAAACTAAGCAGGCCATTTTGAGACTGGAAAACTTCTCAATTTAAAAAATGCATTATTAGCAGTATTTGCATATGCAGCTTTGAGAATAAAGTTAAACTATCTTCCATAGGACTGGACTGCAACTGCTGCAATCTAATTAAAAATGTAAAACAATTTATAAAGTAAAAGTAAAGCTTGAAGGCTGTAGCTTACAAAGAAATCAGTACCATGTCAGATCACCTCAACATCAATTTACAGCTGCAAACTTTTGTCAGTGTGTTCCTTAAAATTTGCCATGCCCACTTTATATCTTGTCCAATTTGTAAAATAAACCATTGCCACACAACACCCCTCCCAGTTTTTGCTTGTTTCTGAATTATGTATAAAATGCAGAACCCAGTTGTTCAGAAGTCAATGCGAGTTCACTGGAACAAATGCCTTAGTTCTGCTGTTAGCTACAGAAAACAATTAAACAGCTTAGAAAAGGCACCAAGAAAAGAGCTAGATGTGCCTTAACTCTGCTGTAGTCATGGATGCCTATATATGGGCTCTGACACATTCCAATTAGAACGCATTGGAGAAGACTTGATTAATCAAGTGTGCTGGAGTGTTCTAATTACAACACTCCAACATCCTGCAGCATCGCATGCATTCAGCGCCCCCTATTTCAAAATGGGGGTGGGGGCACTTTAACTAAAACTCATTGAATAAGCTTTAGTTATAGCACCCCCACCACCATTTTGGAACACAGAAGACTAAATACACATGATGTGGTGGCATTTTTATTAGAGCAGCTGCCTGGGAGCTGCTGCAATTAAACCCTCCCCACCCCAAAGCATGTGTATAGGCATGGTGGAACACATGATAGCATTGCCTCCTGGGTTGGAGGACAGCATGCTGCTGAAGGGAGTGCGTGGGAAGGAGGACTGCAAACAATTGAGGCACTCTGTACTTCTAAATACTTTAACAATAGCTTCACATATAAAGCATCCAACTGTTGATGTCTTCAGGGCGCTGAACAATAACAAACACTATAAACACAGTGCTGACATAACAAGAGACCCTGAAGCAGCTTCTCAACAGATATAAATCACCATAGGTCCATTGCAGTTACTGTAGCCATGACAATGTACACCTGCTGGGGAACTATCCCTCTTTTTTTCTTAAAACTCAAACTAATGAAACTAACCAACAAAATGTGAACAATGCCGAGATCAGGCAGGGAGAGGCAGTGTGAGAGGGGAGGAAACAAGGAGCCAGCAGCAGTTCTATACAAAACCTCTTTGGGAGGAAAAAAGTTTTAAGTTGCTTTTGAAAAACAAGTGGAGATGAACTGAAAGGGATAGTGGCAGGGAAACGTTCTGCACTCTGCCACAAGAAAGGTAGGATTGCTTCCTGGAATGGATCAGAAAAGGCTCTTATGTCTGCACAGTGTTAGAGTGATGTTGCAGCCATGATGACCCAGGCAAGAGGCAAAGATTTCTTAGTGTGATATCTTTTATTGAACCAACTGCACAGTTGGGGTAAAGCTAGACAAGTTTGTGAATACAAGACAATCTAATTCAGGTCTGAGAAATCTCAGAGAAATCTGAAATCTGAGAAATCTTAGACCTGCAGAATGCTCAGACCTGAAGAAGAATGTCTCGTCTTTGAAAGCTTGTCTAATTTATCCAAACTAACATCGAAAAATGCAAGTTTTTCTTCTCCACCTTGGGAAGAAAACCTGCAGCATCCTTATAGGCTCAGCAGTGCTATGCTGGTTAGCACTATGGAAGAAAGAGACTTGGGGGTCATCATTGACCACAAGATGAACATGAACCTGCAATGCGATGCTGCGGCTAGTAAAACGACCAAAACGCTGGCTTGCATCCATAGATGCTTCTCAAGCAAATCCTGGGACGTCATTCTCCCCTTGTACTCGGCCTTGGTGAGGCCGCAGCTGGAGTACTGCATCCAGGTTTGGGCTCCACAGTTCAAAAAGGATGTGGAGAAGCTTGAGAGAGTCCAGAGAAGAGCCACGCACATGATCAGAGGTCAGGAAAACAGACCTTACGACGACAGGCTGAGAGCCATGGGGCTCTTTAGCCTGGAAAAGCGCAGGCTCAGGGGTGATCTGATGGCCACCTATAAGTTTATCAGGGGTGACCACTAGTTTTTGGGGGAACGCTTGTTCACCAGAGTGCCCCAAGGGATAACGAGGTCGAATGGTCATAAACTACTGTGAGGCCGTTTCAGGCTGGACATAAGGAAGAATTTCTTTACTGTCCGAGCCCCCAAGGTCTGGAACAGCCTGCCATCGGAGGTGGTTAAAGCACCTACATTGAACACCTTCAACAACAAATTGGATGCTTATCTTGCTGGGATCCTATGACCCCAGCTGACTTCCTGCCCTTTGGGCGGGGGGGCTTGACTCAATGATCTTCCGAGGTCCCTTCCAGCCCTAATGTCTATGAAATCTATGAAATCAGACTTCCCCGATAAAATACAGATAATTCTAAGAACTGCAATTTTAAGACTACTAGCAGTCATGCTAACTCATGCAAGTTATGGCAATATTAATACTTGTCCACTACGACAAGGTCTAAGAACATTTCATTTCATGCAGACTGAGTAGACATCTGATTAAACTGAACTTGAGTCTCTGCTGACCCAGGGTGAGTGACTTTGTAGGTAAAGACTTTGGAACCATTACTAGTGAAATCCCTTCAGTCCTCCACTCCCTCTGTCTCAAGAATATAAGTTTAAAAAAGGAAACTGACCGACATACAGAAGCTTCCTGGCTTATGGAACAATCACCAGCATGTTATGAACTTTTCTTATTATTTAATGAAATAGAAAACAATTTGTCCATTTAAAACTGACCTGTCAACATTCCCCTCAACATCTAAATACAAGGATTTGACCTAACAGATGGACATAAAAATGTACATAGTTCTTCTCTTCTAGTTCTCAAACATCTACTTGCATTGTCAGTTCCCATTCTGATACAGTATCCCAGAATGCACTGAATTAGTCATGTCAATTTAACCATGTAAATGTGCTGTTGCCTTTCAAAATGCTAGTTTCTTGCCACTCTTATTATCCTAACAATTATGCAAGGGTTTATATTATTATATACCCTTTGGAGCGTCTGTGGCTTGATCTTTATTGAGTGAGACACTAATTCCTGCCACAAATGGGTACACTCAAGGGGTCAGAACATTGTTTCTGATATTCTCTGATCTTCATCTTTTCACACAACTTCTATTATCACCTTCCTGCTCCAGTCATTGAACAAGTAATAAAGACACTAACAGGCACATTCAGGGAGTCCTCTAAAGCCATTAAGGGTGGTAAAAGGGAACGGGGCAGGTTTCTTTAAGAGTTACTGACAGCATTTGTCAAAGAGTTAGAGGAGCTTTAGACAGAAAGATCCCTCAGAGTTGATTTAAACTAGAAAAAGTATTTTCCTCAAACAGAAACAGATGCCAACAAACTGCAGAATAGAACATTTATTTTTAGTGGAATTGTGCCACATTTTTCCAGCTGGGGACAGGAACGTACATGATTCCACAGCTGCAGGAGGCTGCTAATCCAAAAGCTAATTTCTGGCTGTCCAAAATACTTCAGGATATATTTTCAGCACAATACATGGGGAATCAACTGGGTAACTTTCATTGAGGTTAACAGGAAGTGCATAACTAACACCCCACCTAGAAAATGTATCTCTGAGTGAAGTGGGAGGGCATGTGGAACATGTATTCAACCCTCATTGGCTTGCTCAGTAATGGTCTCTGGCAGCTTGCTTGGCTATGTTTTCCTAAATCACTCAGGCAGCTGAACACTAGACAAGAGCTGTACTTAACTTCCACACTGAACCTCCAACGCAAGCTATAGTGGGCTGTTTTGCATTTCAGTGCTGCAAGTAATTTTAGAGGCTATTTGTAGTAATATTATGTTGACCTCCTAATATCAGATACATAGGGAGCAAGAAAAGATCTGGCTCCACTGTAGGACCTCTTCTGAAAACCCAGGGTATAGGTGATGCAGAAGGAGGTGCATGGGGGGGCACATGCCACCCCCACAACCTCCCCCCACTCCTCCCCCGAGATTGGCCCTCGCTGGCCAGGGAGTGCGGAGCACCAGTGCCCCGCCTGAGAAGCGCTGATGGCACTTCCAGTTTTGCTGCCGGTGCTTCCGGGGTCAGTGCTCAGCCGCTGGGGGACCTCCCTCCCCTAGTTGGTGACCAGCCACTGGTGCCCTCACAGTCGGGAGGCACAAGTCGCCCATGACCCAGGGGTAGCCCACAGTCAATGCACACAAAAAGGCAGAACTCCTGAATGCATACTTTTTGTTGGTATTCCTGAAACCCAGTGAGGGCTGCTCATTTGACCAGAGGCCCAGGGAACAAGAGGAAGGTAACAGCCTACACAAAATCAGCCCAGATCCGGTGAAGGATCTTGTACAACACTTGGATATCTTCAAGTCCACTGGACCAGATGACCTGCACCCAACAGTCCTGAAAGAACTAGCCAAACTTAGAGCAGCGCCATTGGCCAAGCTATTTGAAGAACCGTGGAACTTGGGAGTGGTCCCAGATGACTGGAAGAAGGCCAATGTGGTTCCCAACCTTAAGAAAGGGAAGAGGGATGACCCTGCAAACTACAGGCCAGTCAGTGTGACTGCGGTCTAGGGTAAAATCTTTGAAAAGTTGGTTAAGGAAGCCATCAACTATAAGCTGGTAATAGATGGGGTGCTAAACAGCAACCAGCATGGCTTTGCCAAGGGCAGATCATGCCTGATGAACCTTGTGTCCTTCTGTGACCAGCTCACTAACCATTTGGACAAGGGACTTGAGGTTCATGTCATCTACTTAGACTTTAGTAAAGCCTTTGACTCTGTCTCCCATGGGATTCTCTCTAGCAAACTGGAGTGTACTGGGCTGGACCAGTCTACAGTGAGGTGGGTGGACAACTGGCTCAGAGGCCTCTCCCAGAGACTGGTGATCATTGGGATGGCCTCATCCTGGAGGGCCATCTCTAGTGGGGTCCCCCGGGGATCGGTGCTCGGACCCATGCTGTTCAATAAGTTCATTAATGATTTGGATTAAGGGGTAGAAAGCACAATGATAAGTTTGCAGATGATACCAAGCTGTGGGGAAATATGGGCACACCAAAGGATAGGGATAAGATCCAGGAGGACCTAGACAGACTGGATTTATGGGCAGAATGAAATCAGATGAGGTTTAGCAGGGAGAAGTGCAAGGTCCTTCACCTGGGTAGGAAGAACCCCCACCACACCTATACAATGGGTAGTGGCCTACTGGCTGGCACAACATGTGAACCAGACCTGGGGGTCATGATTGACTAGAAGATGAATATGACCCAATAGTGTGATGAGGCCAAAAGGGCCAGTAAACCTCTGGCATGCATCAGCCACTGTGTGGCCAATTGATCCAGGGAGGTATTCCTCCCTCTCTACTCAGCATTGGCGAGACCTCAGCTGGAGTACTGTGCCCAGTTCCCAGCACCACACTTCAAGAAGAACATAGATAAGCTGGAGAGGGTACAAAGAAGGGCCATCCATTTGATTAAGGGCATGGAGGGTAGGCTCTATGAGGAGACACTCCGGGAACTGGGCCTGTTCAGCCTGAGGAGGAGAAGGCTGCAAGATGACTTGTTAGCTGCCTACAAGTACCTCAGGGGGGAGCATCAAGAACTAGGAGAGCAACTATTTAGGAGGGCACCTCAAGGGAGGATGAGGACCAATGGGCATAAACTAATAAAGGGTAAATTCGGTTGGATATAAGGAAAAACTTGTTCTCTGTAAGGGTCACCAGAATCTGCAAGAACACTCCCAGAAGAGGTTGTGCAGTCGCCCTACTTGGAGGTGTTCAAGACAAGGCTGGAGAGGCACCTTAGTGAGCTCATCTGAGCCCAATACTTCCTGCCCACGGCAGGAGACCAGACTTGATGATTCTACAGGTCCCTTCCAGTTCTATGATTCTATTTCCATGTTCTTTACCTGTTGAATAGAGGGATGAGCCAGTTCCTAGCTCATCTACACCTTGGAGTCTCTCCCATCACCAGCTTTCCTTGTGGTTTCCATCTTTCTTGGTCTCCTTGTACTCTGCTCTCACCACTTGCCCATTTCTTTGCTAACACATTTTCTCCTGACCCAGTTTTTCTTTATACCTGCCCTCCCAAGTCTCCATCGCTGCACCTGCATAGTCTTCTGCCTTATACATCTATGGAGTCAACTATCTTCTGTTGACTCTAAATTGTTAATACAGCCTTTACATTGTTAGCATATATTTTCTTTTTTCTGATCTCAAATGAATGTCAAGTCTTCACTGTGGTGAAAACATCTGATGTAGAAAAAATGGCGGGAAATATTTTTTAAAATAAAACTGCAATAAAACAATCAATTTTCATCAGTATTTCACTTTTAACATTCTTTCTTTTAGTTTGGCTACAATATCATTGATAAAAGAAGATATTGATACCACTTCAAACAGCTTAATGCAGTAGATGTTACCCAAAGAAGGCTTTGCTATATGTTTCAAAACATAAATTATTTTGAATGAGCTCAGTCTTTTCATGTTTTTGCCTACATCAAACATGTCTCACACAGTGTAGTGAATTAACTCTCTTTGTTCTGAGATTAGACCAGGGATGTATCAAGGAAATCATATATAGGCAAAAATATACTAAGTCCGAAGTAATGAACACGTGGGATTTCACTGGAGTATGCACAATTCCTTAAAGAGATAAGACAGGATGGATACTACAGAGGTTCTGGCCAGAGGGCATGACACCCTTTGGGCACTTAATGAGTGGGGTCATGAGGCCCACAGAAATTCAATTATAGTATTTGGGCTCAGACTAGAAGTGGGGTTGCCATGGAAAGAGATTGGGAGCTGATGCTGTGGAGGCTATTTGATGAAACATTATGCACAAGACCAGGAAGGAAAAATATACCCAGCAAGCTGCTGGGAAGAGATGGCCTCCACCTCTCTCT